AGCTTCATTGACTCTTTATGAATTATTTATTAATTATAAAATAAAAGCTAGACTACTCATTTATTTTGTTTTAATTTTTTTTATTATTGTTCTAAAAATGATTATCACTGTCATTACTGTAATAAATATTATCATTATTATTACTGTTGTTATTTTATTTTTATTTTTTATTATTATCATTATTACTATTATCATAACTTTGAGAAAAATACAAATACAGGCCAAAAACGAGCTAATATCAAAATACTTGGTAAATTTAAATTATAACCATTCTGAAATGAAGTGCTTTATGATAAATAATTATTATTAAAGCGGCATTTGCATCTAGTAGTTATTTCGATACCAGGCCACACATGTTAATTTGGAATTTTTAAACAATAAACAATAACGCAATGTAAGCCAAACATTTTAAAGTACAACAAATAATTTTATTGAAAGTAAGTGTAAAAATAAATATACAAGCATTTACTTGGCGAGTTTTGATAAAAATGTAACGATATTTTTCGTATAGTATAAATTTAGCATATTTTCATAGATGTACACTCCACGTGTAGGTATACGGTCGTTATATCGATAATACGACCGTGTACAAGCTACAAAAAACCTGCATAGCAACAACGTATTATATAAGCTGCAACCGCTGCACTAGGTACACGATAAATATTTACACACACACTAGAAAATCATGAAAAGTCGATGACTAGGTAGAGAAAAACCGAAGTAGATATTTCCACAAAAAAAAATTTCTTCATGTTCCCATGTCGTATTGTCACGTCTACTTTAAGTTATAGTGTAATTTTTCAGGTAACTTATGAGGGGCTGGTAGATGAGTTTTGCGGCGTCGATCGCGAATACGAAGCCAATGTGATTGAAATGTTCGTCTGGAACTTTGTACATCACGTCGACGTTTGGTAGCTGTCTGGCAACTTCCTCGACATCCTGAAACGTTCGCATATCAGTTGAAATTTCGTGCACGCGACACGTGTAAAGACGAAATCTCCGAAGGGATCGACTGTGAGTGGTTCTTGCTTACCTGGCAGTCTGTCAATAAGTCATTTTGCGCGTAGTAAATGGCTGTAGGAACTTTGACATTGGCCAACTTGTACTCGGGTGGGACAGTTTGATTGTAAAACATGGAATTTATTTCTTTTGAACCATAATCGAACTGACGAAATTTTTCTGTGTAAAGAAAAAAGAAATTTTTACCACAGAGAAACACATAAATAATGTCCCCAATTGAGATTGAAGTCAAATTCTCGGTGAGAAGAAATTGTTTTTTCAAGTACTCCCATGGCTATTTTTCTTTCTATTCTACTTTTATGTTTGTGTAACAGCACATTCATTAATTTTATAAAATCATTTCATTGATTAACTTGCTTAAATTTAATAGTTTACGTCAGTGCTTCAATCAACAAAATTAAGTTATGTTTTTCTCTCTTAATTAATTTACTAAATTTTTAAAAAATCTAAAAAAATATAGCTTCAAGTTATTTCTGATGTTCAGAAGTATGAAAGTGTTCGATTTTATGTACTATACTTGGCTTGTAATATCCTAAACTTTTATTTAAAGATAAAAGTAATTTTTGTATGTCATGTCAAATGACCATCAGCTTAAAAAGTTTAATAATTGAGGGTAAACGACCAATCTCAATTCGAGATAACCTTTGATATAAAATTTTTTAAATTTACTCACTAGAATTGTAACCCTGGGCATAGTGGAAAAATTGTTTGATAGAACTTCCGGCCGGCGAATGTCCAAGTATAATGGGTATGGTAGTCTATAATGAAAAAAAAAAAAACATTTTCACATTTTAATTTGGAAGAAGAAAAATTGGATGGACGTATAAGTGTATGGTAGTAGTAAGTAATGGACCTTGTTAAGTAAGGACGCATCATAACCGGTAATCATGAACAATACATTGCTACAGACCACCTGATAGGGCGAGCGAGCCTCGCAAGCTTCTCTGCCAATTTTGGTTAAAAGAGCGTTCGTTGGTAAGAAGTCATTCACCCCGAAGACTCTAATCAAGTACTGTAAGACAATTATTCAACTCGTCATTAAAAAAAAAAATAATAATAATAATAATTTATGCTACTTACTCCTGAGAGAAAAAACTACTTACGTAAAGAGGTGTCGATATCCTCGAAAATACACCAATAATGGGACTCCTCGAGTGCGTCGTATAGGCGACGGGAGCGAAGAGCGCGGCTTTGGCGATCTTTTCGTTGTAATGCGGCTTCTCTGACATCATGACAAAGAAGACACTGGTTGCCTGGGAGTGTCCCACGTAGTGCATTTTCTTGCAATTTGTCGAGCTGATGATATGGTCGATGGTACCCGGAAGATCGAAGATGCCCATCTCGTGCCACGAGAATTCCCAAAACTTCGAGTCGCTCGACGACATGTTCACGTGGGCCTTGGAATACGTGTTGCCTCGGGAATTGCCCAACCACACGTCGTAGCCGGCGTCTGATAGTATGTAGGCTGGAAACAAAAAGTACTTATCATTGTTCCGGACAAATTAAAAAAAAACCTGCTCATCATAAACAGTTGGACTTTGATCAATGTAGTTGATACATACAATTTTTGCGATTAAACTCTAATAAAGGTAAAATTAACTCTAAAAAATAATTGCTTCCACGTGTGTTTCTTTTATATAAATATTGCAGTGATTTGAAATCATCTGTTTTCTTACAAGTAATTTAGTTCGTGAAATATTAGTATAAATTGTCATGTAAATCAATTATTTACGGTTTGATTAACCCATCGTTAGTATAATGATGCTATTGAACCAAAGTAACGAAACTAAGAGGACAATTAGATCTCCAAATCGAGAGTAAGTACACGTAACACAGGTAAAAAATCTATAGTACTGCTACAAGGGAATTGAAAAATAACAAGGGTCTTCGTAGTCCGTTTATCCGATGGGCATGGACAAGAGATAAAATGAGCTTAAAGACTGTAGTAGGTACATACGTACCCAGCGATTGGTTAGGACCGAGCATCACCCAATCCGCGGAGCTTCCCAAAACTCCGTGCTGCAGCAGAACGACTGGTTTGCCATCTGGATCAGGATGCGTCTCGTTACCCGGTATCCTGTGTACCGTCAACAGATAACCATCCTCCGTTTCTACTTGGTGGGATTCGGCTTGATAGCCGTACTTCCGTATTAGTTGAGCCTAGAATGTTCAATTTATTATTTTTCTCCTGCAACCATAGAATCGATTATCATCTGAAACTATTAGGGGAATGCAACGTTCGAATTTTATTCATCATGTAGCTCTCGAAAGGGCTGTTTCAAGATAGAAAAAATAAGATGATATAGGTACATGCATGTATGTAGATAAATATGAGTTTTGCTTATTCTCTTTTTTTATAGCAATGACAGATTGTTCTCTTTCGAGAAAATAATTTGCACAAGTTTTTTGTTTTTTTTTCATATCTCTTTTTTTAACATCCATTAATAATCACACATCGTGTGTGTATCCCACCTTCTTTGTAACAACTTTTTATTACTTTTATGTTTTATTTGAATACGTATGATATATTGAGATATAATAATTGCATTAAAAACCAAAAAAAAAGTGTGTCACCTCGACTGACACCTGTGTTCACTATTTCTCTACGTAGTATATGACGTCGAAACGTGTTTTTCATTTTTTTTATTTTCTCAGCTTAGTAAGAACTAAAAAACTTTTTAAAAAAATTTATAAAAATGCACTTTTAGATAACTAATAGACAGAAATTTTTTTTTTTATNTCGAAATTTTTGAAAAATTCTAGAAATAACCTTTTTTTGAATGGTTGATCAAAAATTTTTCTTAACTAAACAAACATTTTTTTTCTATTATCATACATTTTTTCAGATTTTTAAAAGTGATGGAATAGGTCCGAAAAAATAAAAAACGGCGATTTTAGGTATTTTTCAGCATTATCATCTGTTCTACTACATTTAAAAATCTGAAAAAATGTATAGTAATAGGAAAAAATGTGTGTTTTGTTAAAAAAAATTTTTTGTTGAATCACTGAAAAAAAGGTTTTTTCTAGAATTTTTTTAAAATTTCAAACGTATCTGGAAATTTAAAAAACGTGTCAAAAATAAAAAAAAATATCTGTATATTCTTCATCTAAAAGTGTATTTATATAAATTTTTTAATATTTTTTTTTTCCCTCAACCAAACCGAGAAAATTGAAAAAAAACTGAAAAACATAGTTTGAAAAATAAGATTGTCAATCATTATTTTAAATAAGTGCTTGGGCTGCAGGTCATAATTTTTTAGGACGTGGAACATGCATCGTACTGTAATTCCAAGCAAGTTAAAATAACGCTTATTATTAGAATTTTACAGTAGTTTTGATAAATATTTTTAAAAGAACCAGCTAACAGAGAAATTATCACCTATTTAATGATTAGCACAAGAAGACAGAAAAACGCTAGAAATTTCTAGTACGTTTGTGGATGTTTTTAAATTTATGATAGGGTGTTTTACGTCTTTGAGTCTTCGTGCATCAATTTTCACTGCTCCAGATTGCAGCATTAGATATAAAAAAGCTGATTGAATAGTTGACAACTTGGTTTGTTGTTAAATATTTTTGAAACAGATATAAATTTGGGCAACGCGATGGTATTTACAGTGAATTATAAATAATGTTTAATATTTATGTTTGTGTACGAGTATAAAAGTTATTACAGTATCTAGAAAAACGTCGGGATGATCCATCATTTCAGAAAAATTTTTTATCGACAAAGTTGGTAGGACCATGTTCATCATAAATCCCCAGGCATTCATTACTGTTCTCTGAAACAAATCATTGGAAAAAGTTGCATCCATTATACAGAAATTTAATGAAATAATTTTCATCACAAAGCATGTTTGTCGTACTCCTTTTAAAATAATCCATACGAGAGCTTAATTCGCTTGTGTGCACAGAAAAAATGTAATGCACGGGTACATGAAACTTTGAAAAGCAGATCGAAAATCGTAAATGTATACCGATTTTATTCGCTAAAATAAATGTGCTATAGTAGTACCCTTCTGTACTGCCGAGACGCGCACGCGACGCGAGAAAAAACAAGTCGGTTTCAAGGACGTGGCTGAAACTTGTCAGCGCCACTGCGCCTTTTTCCGAGATAGGTACACGAGTTGCAGACGCGAAAGTGCAAAGTATAACTTAACTAAGGAAAATCGAGCCACGACTACGAGTGTACGTATGTTACAGTTTCTTGCGAAATGAGTTCGGTTTTTCTCTTCTCGGCTACTGAGCGAAAGGCACGCTCAGGCTTTATTTATATGGAAGTAACAGAGAGAGAGCGTTTGATTATATGTTGGATGCTATAAAGTTGAAGTTAATCGCATGTGTAAGATGTATATTTTTAATCATCGGTATTTTTACCAAGACTTATGGAGGTACTTGATGTTAATTTAGAAATATTTTACAATCATGTATTACAAAGTTTCAAAGGTACATTACAATTTTTCAATACAAGTAAATAATCGCGTAATCAATTAGCAATTTGAATTAAAAAATGTGAAATCAATATATTATACTTTATTAATAATGTTTTAATTACAATTTGCGGATAAAATTGTCTAATGAATATGTAACTAAGTTAGTTTCTATTAAACAAACTATATAAAAGTATCTGTGTATGAATAAACATTAAATTTGAACATAACTATGATAAGAATAAATTTTATCTATACGCATCGCAACATAAAGCTTGCTTACCTTCAGATCACGAACATTCGAATCATCGACGATGAAATTGACTTTACGACCTATATTGTCAAATTTTTCGACAACATTGTTGTAGCTTCCTGCAAAAAAATCTTTTCAAAGGTGTCCTCCAAGCTGTATCAATGATAATAGTTGACAAGCAAAAACTCTATGATTAAATTCAAATAAAAACAAATCCAAGTATTACAATAAATAAACAATTTATTACAAGCATTACCATCATGTAAATAAGTACATTAAATTGTTCAACTTCAAATGTTACTATTCGAATTATTAAATGCGAGCATTACAGTATTGTAAGCATGCATTTGCGGTGTTTTTCTTATTTTACATCCATAAAGTGTGAAACAGCCCAAACTATGCATTATTCCCATAAAACATACTGCAGTCAAACTAGTTGTTGAGAATTCGAAAGATAAATTCAGCAAAGCATAACGTAATCATGCAAATATTTTTAAATTACTTGTGAGAAAACCTGTCCCCTTTTTGTACAAAGATTTGATAGTCTTTACACCTGGTATTAGTTCCAGCCATCTAGAAAATTTGTGCTAAAAATATACGTCTTGGTTATAAAGCGGAATTGCGTCATCGATTATTACATCATATAATGTTACATTCTATAAAAATAATAGCATTAAGTTTGAAAATATTGGTGATTCCCGAACGCCTTTGAAAAATTTTATCAACCCGAAATATATATTGGAACAACGGTAACGAGTAAAAAAAAAAAGAAAAAAATAACATGACCCACCTGTGGCTTTTTCTGGGTGATAATTGGCGGGGCTGTCATACCGAAAAATTGTACTGAGCCGTTAAAGTGTCCCATTACTGTCAGCTCTTCGGCTTGGGTTGAGGCGAGAATGTATTGAGCAACGCGCTCCAATCTTTTCCTTTCATTTTCCTCGCTCCTAAAAAATAATGCAGTGCGAATACCGCAACATATTTTATACACGTGTACACTTATGAAACATCTAAGTTTGTATTATGATCTTTGCGATGATTTTTTTTTATTTAAAGGAAAAAAAAATTATTTCCTAATTAATGCGTTTCACCTACGATATCGGACTCTCGGTGATGCTGCTGTTGCCTATGCCCAGCCATACATCGTAACCTCGATCCACCAGAATGTAAGCTGCGATCAGTAAAGTTTTCAATAATAATTTGCTACATTAGAGTAAAAAATTGTATAATATATCAATTTGTTCTATCGACATCATCCGATAATGCGTTTTGATGTGAGAAAATCACAATAAATAATTCTCTTGTTTATTTCGAGTGAAACGTGAAAATTTCAATGTACAGTAATCAGTCTCTGTTTGAATACGATTTTAAAACATAATACTGATGGATGAATAATTCAGTAACATGATACAAACATAATGTAAATGTTCTTTGTCTGACCCTTTAATATCTATCTTAAACTAAAAGTTGCTGTATAACTAAAAAATGTCCAAAAATAGTTTTTTTTTCATAAATACTTGTTTATAATTAATTTTCATTTGTTTAATCGTTGAAAAAAAATTAACAGTTATCATGCAAAATTTTTCAAATTTTTTTCTGTATAAAAATACTCCTTGAGCCTGAAAAAAAAATTTCTTTTACTTCTTAAAGGGTTTAAATAGTTTTAGCCGTTCTTTAAACGTCAGTGAAAAGATTTAGTTTATAAAAATTTAATTCTTGTAAAAATCAAACATCCAACTGTAATTAGAAAATTATTTGTAAAAGTTTCATTTTTGTCACTCATTAATTACTGGTAAAAACTTTTTGGAAATGTATCGACGGATTTTTAATATATTAATTTGAGAAAAAAATTTTCTCTAGGCCATTAGGACATAAATTATGAAAAACTAGACTCACCGACAGCGATTTTTGGCTTGTTCACTTCGCAGGGATCGTTATCGCAGAGAATACCATTCTCTATGAAAACGGGCTTCTTTCCCGGCTTCTTTGGTGATTTTGGTCCCGACGATATTCTGTACAGCACAGTCTCTTTTCCCGGATCAGTGTACTTGTCAACTTCGGATTCCGATGATGGCAAAATTGGTGGAAAAGCGTATCGCTCCAACTCGTACTCCGAGAGCACGTTCAACTGATACTTAATAACAATGACAAACGATTCGTCATGATTCATCTTTAATTAATTTCAACAGAATATTTAACTGGACCCAATATTATTGTCAATGCATGTGTGCTTTATATCATTTAAAGTATTATAACTTAAAGTATAACATTCCACACTTTCAAATGATAAAATATAAAAATGAATTCTCTTTTATTGAAAACGTCTTATTTAGTATTTTATAAATGCTAAAATCGGTTATATTTTTTACTGAAAATTTATTATCTGCTCCACTGAATCACCTTAATAAATTCTATTGTAGCAGCAATAATCATTTTAATTATAGCCCAAGAAACTCGTCATGCTTAGTAATCGAGCATAATAATCGATTCAGTCAAGAGTATTTACTCGATTCACATGATATTAAAGATTAACAACTGTAATTTTCTATTTATTTACAAAATACGTGATTGCTAGTACTCTGATTGATCATAAATTAAGTGCTTACCTGTGTGATTATATTAACAAGGTCAGTATCAACATTAAATCAAAAATATATCTTCAATGATACTCGTTAACGTAAACTATAATATTTTCAATGAATATTTTACAATTATTTTGATTAATTCTTGTGCAATTTTTACGAGATTATTACATTTGTACTGTACCGGATAAATTATCTAGTGTTTTACAATAAATCTTTTTGATTGAACAAGATACTTAACTATATATTTTTTTAAAGATTTTACGATGAATTTTTTAGATTTGTTTAACGTGAGCTCTGACGTTTATAATAATTTTATAATTCGGTAATAAATAAAAAATGGTGAAAACCACATTTGAAACGTTGATTAACACTATTGCATCAAACACCCGCGAGTTATGTTTTTTTACATACGAATACCGGTTTTACCAGATCGAGCAGCATAAAATCACTGCAACTTGTTATTGTACATTCTGCTATTTTTATATATTTTGAAAAAATGCTCCAGAAATTTTCAAGTAACTTAAATTTTATCACCAAATAGCAATATATCGTGTATTATGAACAAATGCATGAGTATTAAATTACCAAATTCCTTCCACTGGTGTCGAAGTAAGTGTCAGTTGCCACAACCACTGCAACCGTAGTCAGCAAGAGGAACGCCGTAAAAGACATTGTTACTGTGATGAAAGTCTTTCTTTTGGTTGACCAATCGTAGTAGCCAATAAACCTTTTGTTCACAAAATTTTTCGTTTTTTTAATCGTTAAGTACTTAATAAATTTTATTTAAATTCTTTTATTAAATACTATTTTAAAACATCTCAATTATATTATTTTTCCAGAATACTAGTAAAAACTCGATAAGATAAACACGATAAATTAATTTAAAAGTGGATCGCAAACAAATTAAGATTATGCAGTTTCTACTCTTTAGCTTCAATACTGATTCGTCATATCCTTAAGACTATGCTAAAGAGAACAAAAGTTCATCGAATGCATTTCGAGGTTAAGATTTTTTTGAATAATGATGAGAACGAGCTCTCGAGAATCACAAAGAAAACAGTTTTTCTTTCTTTGGACGATTGTCTTTTCTGAATACACAATTAGCGTAAATTATGATTCGGCTAAAATAAAAAAATAAAATTATCATTTCCTGTCTCCTCTGCTTGTAAAACTGACCATCAAAACATTGACTTTCAACGTATCAGTATATAATTTTGACGCATTTAGGAAATCATCGCTTTTTTTATCGTACAAACAATCAACAATAAAATCACTTTGATCAACAAAAATTAAAATTAACGAGCGGAAATTTTCCTTCATTCTAATTTTACTACTGAAAGCATCTCTCATTCGACTTCTAAATTCATCGCTAGAAGCTTGGAAAAGTTTGCATCAATTACATTATCCCCGCGCACTTAACAAACCAAAACATAGCGCGCTATTTGCATACCGATACACGGCTCGTGTATAGTTCAACCACTACTACCAAAACACACACGAAAATTTCTCAGCCGGTTAACACTTTGATGGACACTTGAATCCTCTGAACTCGAGCAACAAAATAACAAGCAAAAAATTATAGAAAAGTAAAAAAAAAAAAAAAAAAAAAAAAAAACACTAGAGCGCCGCTTATTCGTTCTCTGTACTTGAAACTAGCGCACAAAATTACACGCATCGCGCCGTACGTTGCATCGAAAATTAATGCAAAATGATATTTGTGTATGGATCTACCTCAGTGCCGCGAGCGTCAGGCTACGGTCGTCGCGTCGCCCTACGACTGCTTCGACTGAGCGCCGGCTTCCGCGCGGCATTGCTGACCCCGTGAACCGTGCGCTCGCGCGCCTTGCCGATTGATATGATGGTAATGCGCCAGAGTTTGCGCTATACCGCACGGTGTACGACACCTTTTTCACACAAGCCTTTTTTTCATCCAGCAATAAACAATTTGGTGGTATTTTCGACAGAGGGCTCACCTGAAGCAAAACAGCTATCGAGTGACACAGTTGTATTATGCACGACTGAGCATTACAGAAGGATGTAAATGTTTATCGGTGCTGACGACTACGTGAATCAGCCGTGGGATCTGCTTTTGAATGACACATGTTTTTCCAGCAAAGACACGCGTATTTGTTTGAATTTTCAGCCACTTGTGCGAAAGTTTGTGCTCAGTCGAGGCATATCGCATACAACAATGCTCGTGACGGCGAGCCGAGCAACTCTGCTAATGCAAATTTGAATTTCGCGCGTGTGCGACTACTGCGAGCTTGTGCGTTATTACAGAGGTGGAGTGAGTACATATTATAATTGAACGTGGAAAATTTTCATGAGACTGCGGTCAAATAAATCGTGTGGGACGACATTTTAATCATTCGGTAAACATACTTATTTGGATACGAATTCTTCTTTTTGACCTTCTTGAAGAGAACGCTTTAAACTGCTGAAGTTATAAATACAAATGTCGAGACACCATATTCTATGTATTTTTTTAAACTTTGCATCATCTTCAAGTCCGATGCTTGTCCTGATGAAGATGACGCATCAGTACTAAAAACAATTCTATTTGCACACTAGTGTTTGTCCTGTTTTTTTTTTT